AATGTGCTCTAGGAATCGAATGCACGGCTTGGGTGGTGATAGATATGTTAATTAATGAGCGTGATAATCATCACACACTAATTATACCTTAAATACAGTCAATCTTTATGTGTCAATAAAAACTCTTAAAATAAAAAGGGAAGATGCTTGACCGCTCCGCTCTCCCTATGGCATCTTCCTATTCATTCCTTATCTTCCTCCTTTACCCCCTTTCATGCTGACTGTGAGTACTAAGAATAGACGTAGATCCAAAGGCCAAGTCCTCCCCCGTCAATTGACTTCTGCTGAAATTGTACAGGAAATCTCAAGTTTAGTACAGCATATAAATGGGCAAGTCCACAAACTGTGGCCCAGTAAAAGAGAGGGGGCAGTTGTCCTTTATGATTAGTAAGACCCAGGCATAAAGCAAAGGAGAAACTTACAAAGACAATGGATAGATTCTGATAAGCTAAAAGTTTTTAAATCTGTGAACAATACATTATAAATAAAATTAAAAGACAAATGACAAACTGATAAATTGAAATTCACATTACTTAGAACTAAACTCCACTATATAAAATCACTTATAAGAAGAAAAATAAACTGGGTGGCACCTGTGGCTCAAAGGAGTAGAGCACCGACCCCATATGCCAGAGGTGGCCATTCAAACCCAGCCCCAGCTAAAAACTGCAAAAAAAAAAAAAAAAAAGAAGAAGAAAAAAACAAACATCCCAAACGAAAAAAATGGCAATAAAATATAGAATGCTAAAATTTATTAATTGCCAAAAAATACCAATTAAAATTAAAAATTGGATAATATCTGATGTGAGAGGAGTTTCAAATTCGTAGCACTTAGCGTTCGACTGTGGTTCATGCAAGCCACGGTGAAATATGATTCTCACCCACAAAGCCATCCCTCACTATAGCACCTGGGATAACTGAGCAGGAGAGGCTTCCCCGAGGCAAGGCGGTCACACTGGAACAGAGGCCCCGCTATCTGTAAATCACATTGGAACAGAGGCCCCGCTATCTGTAAATCACACTGGAACAGAGGCCCCGCTATCAGTGAATCACACTCGGCTCCGCTATCTCTGCTATTTCCGCTGGGTTTACCATTAGACACAGACAATTTAAAATCAAATCTTAATGACTAAAGATGTTACAGCTTCAATACCCCAAATCTTTAGATGCCTTGACCTACTAATTGTACTTTTAAAAAGTTATCTAAAGAAAAGGCTCAATGATATGCAGAACTTAAACACAAAGAATTCCATCTATTATTACTGATAGTGAAACTGGTAATATTTGAATGAAAACCAGAAGCTTCACGAATGCCTTCATATGAAGTAATCATGTTCTCCAAGAGTGTGCTAGGGAAATATTTACAATATAATGCTATGTAAAAAAGCAATACATAAAACACAGCATAATTTCAAGTATGTGAAAACATACACTATGCTTCTCTATACTTCTCTGGCCCGCTAGCTGGCCACCTCTATTGACATCCCCTCCCCCAGAACTGGAAAAACATTAACAGTGGTTTTCGGAAACTGAGATTACCAGTGATTTTTTTAATGCTTGTATAATTTCCTATGTTCTAAATTTTCACCAATAAAACATTTTTACTTTTGTCACCAGAGAGCAAATTACTTTTTAAAATACCTGATGAATCATTTATGTAGCTTAAATCAAGTCAAATCAAAAGATCATACAAAATAACTTGAAGTGAACTTCTTTATTTCATTAAAAGTTAGAAGACTGCTTCTAAACATTTAGAAATTTCACTTCATTAAAACAAGACCTTGTTTTTGTTACCACCAAGATACAGTAACAGTTGTTTCTAAAACATCTGCAATCACAAGACCTTTCAGACAGAGATCTCAAAAATCAATTGTGATAACCACCGGTCAATCGCCAAAGTTTTCTATCTGCAAAATGACAGTCCTATATCAGCTAATCTCTTTGGTACCTATGAGCTTTCTGAATCTATTATCTAACTCCAGAGACATAAAATTAAGCAATGGATTTTCCCTTCACGATAAACTTGAGAATTATGGGAATAACGGGAGAACATTCAGCAGGGAGCCTCCAGTGCTTGATGTGAAAGGCACAGAATAAACTCCAGATGGTAATCCAGAGTGCACAGTGGGACAGAGAGGAATTGTTCCCACATCTCTTGAGGGGACAAGTTGCATAAGTCCCCTCCATATTTGTCTCTTAGTCCTATGCCTGAAACAGTGACACCGTTTTCCCCTGAGTGTTCTGAGGATTGATAACACATGCAAAGCACCTGGCCTAGCGCTCAAGATGTTCAGCACGTGCCCAAGTGTGTGTGTGTCTGTGACTAACTCACAAAAGCATTATTTATAATAAACACCGTAGCAACAGAGAGCTTTGTAAAATGAAGGAATAATAGAAGCTTACAGCAATGTTCCCTGTTTTTACCCATCTTAACCTTATTAATAACTTTTTGAAAACATGAGATTTTAACACTGGACAAAAGTGAATTCTACAGGCAACACCTTAAATGTATTCTTCTGTGTAGTCAGCCAACAAGTTGGTGTGGCTGCTGACATAAGTCCAAAGGAAAGATAAGGTCATAAAGCCTTTGCCTGGCTTACTGACAGAACAAAAAAAATAATTTTTATTCATATAATTTGTTCCTGTTATGAAGCTACAGATTCAGAATACTAAATATCTGGGAATGTTCGGTGCATATTATAATTACATCCTCTACTTTGAGGAGAACAAGGCTGCAGAATTCAATATTCATTTCTTTCCTTGCACACATAAATTAGTTCTTTTAGCCTCGCAGACAGGCAAACCGCTCCCTCCCGCTCCTTGTTGGAGCAGACTGAGCACCAGGGCTTCACCACCTGCCATTTTCCTTCTCATTGAACCTCCGAGCCCTCTTTTCTCAGACTTGACATTATCTGGTGCTGGGATTAAATTAGTAAAGAGGAAAAGAAAGGGGATTAATGTTCCTTTTCCCTCCCTTTCACAAGCTAATTTGTGGAAGAAAGAATAAGAAAAAAGTTTTCAAACAACTCTTTAGAAAAACACATTGAGGCTTGTCTCCCTGGCTACTTGGCAAGGCCAGGCACTGATCCAAAAGTTAATTTGAAAGCACAGCTTTGGGAAGGTCATAGATGAAACAGTCCCCCCAATCCTAGCTGTCATAAACCCCGGCAACCCTCTCAAATAACCCAGAGTCAGCCAAAGGCTCCATGTTTTCCTAACTCCAGGAAAGGTCTTGAGACATGTCTTGACTTGCTGGGATGCTGGTATAAGATGCCGCCTCCTCTGCAGGCCCGGGAGGTTCCCTGCAGGGCGGGGCTTCTCCTGCA